GGAAAATCCATGGTTTTCGAACGATGGAAAAGAAAGAGAAGACATGAATGAGGAAACTGAGGAACATGAAAATACACCAGAACGGTTGAGAGAACTGAAGCCAGTAACTGCGGAAGAAACAAAGGAAGGACAAGGTGATGAAGACGCAAATGCCTCCGATAATTCTGACCAAGATGAAATGTTTGAATTGATGGAAGAAAGTGGAGCGCAGGAAAGTGGAAAGAACAGAAAAAAGAGAAGAAAGAAAAAGAACATCGAAGAGAGGAAAAGAGAAGAAAACGAAGTAGAGAACCTTGAGGAAAATGGCATAAAAACGAAAGGGAAAGTGAAAAGTAATGTTGTTTCACAGGGAAACACTAAAGAAACTAGTAGTGTTGAAAAGACAAGTGAACGTAAGAAAAAGAAAAGAAAAATTACAGACGAAAGTAGAATGAAAGAAAAGTTGGAGAAAAGCAAGAAAGCAAAGTTGGTGAAGAGTGGGACTGACGAGGACAATATGCAAACCGGAGATTTGGACGAAAAGAACCGAGGACGGTGGATGAAAGGCAAAGTTGTGAAGTACGTGAAAGGAAAGGACGGTGTAATTAGAGGAGTTATTGTATTACATAAAGGTAACTATTTGGAACGACCTGTTCAGCTAGTATGTCCTTTGGAGATAAGGAGCGTGGTTAAGGAAGATCAAGGAAGACACAACGAAAGTACTGAAGATAATGATGATAAATTAAAGAAAAGACCAGAACGGAAAGCAGCAAAGATCGCGAAAGTTAACATCAGAGAACAGTTGAAGGACGATTAAAGGGAAGTAAATATAACTGTGTAGACTGTTGTCGTTAAAAATTTATAATTCGTTTAAATTTGTTAGGGGAGTGTGTGATGAACTCTGAACAGTAATAGCTATATTTAGAGACACGCGCAACATTACCATATATGGTATAATGACTTTGTTATTGTTCAAGAGTATAGACAAGATTAAGAGACAATTGACAGGGTTTGAGACAAGTGAATTCATATATTTCGTATTGTTTTTTGTGTATAATAAATATTTAGAGTGAGGATTTATATACGGGGACAACTTCGGTATAAGGGGTGGGGGGAGGGTAGAAAGACGCCATCCGCTCCCCAATTATTCTGAAAGTCTTTGAATGGTACCTGAATAAATGTGTAGCAAGGCGGTCACAATAATTTGTAACCATTGAAAGCTTTGGTATACGCTATAAACCAAGCTACACATTACATGAAATGTACTATTTACAACATGAGCGACTGTATTTTATCGGATATACAAACTAGAGCGGAAGGCGAGAATTTGTATATCCGGTACAACCAGGGCCCGCCGTAGCGAAGAAGGTAGAGAAGGGGTGGGGTGTAGTATCGCATTTGCCGACAACATTTCAGTCGCTAATTAATATTTTTTTCCCAAAATTGTTGGCGAGCAGTAGGGGGATATCGAAATTTTTTCCCGAAATACAAAAATTTTTCCGGTCATACCGTAATTTTTCCGGACAAATCGTAATTTGTTAACTTTTTCCGTAATTTTCGTAAATTTAGCAAAATGTTTGCTATAACTATTACTTTTTATTCCGAGCCACTCAAATATTTCGCTGACTATGAAAACAATTTGCCGATAAATCCGAAAACAATTTGCTTAATCTAGCACACATTTGCCGAGTCCGTGATGAATGTGGGGTATTACACCCCCTCTAACTACGCTCCTGGGTACAACACAGACGCGAATGTAAATGACTTGTGAAACGTCTTCATGAGAACATTCGTATTCTTCAACAATTTAAAATAAACGAATGATATTTGGTGAGAAAATTGAACTTGATTTTGTATCAGATACATAAATTCCTTCGCGCTCATGTCATGATTTAATTCGTTGTCTTAACCAAAAATACGAGGTTAAAATTGTCCAGTGGCATTTATTTATGGTTAAACTAACCAAAATTATACATTTAATTAATTTAAATGGTCAAAGTTTAATTGAACATTACTCGTTGGTTGTTTCAATAAAAGAAAACTGGTTGTAAATGGACGCATCTGTTTCTACTATACAACGGAAATAGTAGATTTTGAAATTTATTATTTCGTCAGAATATCAACTATTCCTTTATCTATCCCAAGAGCCTGTTCACAAACTAATGTCTCTCATATTTGTCCCGCTTGCACCTCTTGATACAAACATAACAAACACTTCTCTTAACACTAAAGGGTGTTTATTTATATACCAAGAATCTATCAAATGCATTGCTGTGTTATGTATTATTACTAACTCTATTACCTAACTAAAGTTGTTTTAACGACTGAACAGGCTGGCCCCAGTTTTTCATGCAGTAATGTTAAAATTAACGCTGCAAAATAGGATAAGCAAACGAACAAAAACTCAACTATACGAAATTATATTCCTACTCTGGATTCAGATCGAGGCTCTTAAAGAATGGCGAGGCAAAAATAATGCCAAGATGGAAGAGCCTCACTTGCGAATCTCACTTTCATCCATGATTACGTTCAGTACCCCCGGGGAGAGAGTACTAATTCCGCATGGCAATAATTTACACCCGGAGAAAGCAAAGCATTAGCGAAGTTCATCAATAAAGTTCTTCAGTAATCGCGGACGCGTGGCTATCCATAGGCTATCCAAGGGTGGACCTCTTCACTGATCTCAAAAATATGGCTGTTTGCCAGGAGTTGGGATAAGCAAGATTTCAATTTTCAAAAACATATATTTGTAAAATCGTTTCATACAATGAGCTTTGAAGAAATTTTTGTTTGAAGAAATGAGAAGAATTGATTTAATCTGGGAAATCGTGAAATATAGGGCAAGTTTGCTTTGAATATTTACTAGCTACGGCCTTTTCTAGCTACGGCCTTTTCCAGGGCCGTAGCTAGACGCGATAATTGGGGGGGGGGGTGTATATTCATGTTCACATACGGTAAAAACAATGGCTTTCAAAAGAAATCCGTAGGGCAGAACACGAATATATGAATATGCACCCCCCCCCCAGTTATCGATCTAGCTACGGCCCTGTGCACATCCTTGTCAATGGAGCTGCAATTTTCGTAAATTAGTAAATTACCCTGTTTAATTTAAGATAAAAAATATTTGAGCAAATTAATTTGAAGATCGAACTGAAATTACTCAACAGTTTGGTTAAATTAACATTTCAACACATTTTACGCGAACCATTTCAGATTAAATTTCACATTAAATCAAAACATTAAATCATTGTTGTATAGTTTAAAGTTCTAATCTTTCAACAATTTTGCCGTTTTAAACAAAAAATGGAAACAAAATTATAAATTTTGAAATTATCGCGTTGCCATGGCAATTAATACTTCATGTTAAATCAATGTTTGGAAAATGTAGGCGAGGGGTACTGCGTGTATGTATTCTAGTTTTTAATTGAACGAAATACAGAGATCATAAAGTTACTGTTCCATCAAGTATTTTACTACATGATACGGAGCAGCATAAATTTCGACCGCTGCAAATCTGAGTTGGTTAATTTATTAACAATATTTCATGACACAAAAACTTGAAAGTACCTTGAACTCTTCTTGTTCCCAAGTTAACGGGTATTTTATATTTTTGTTTTATGACGTCTCTAGTTGTTCTTAAGATGGCAACAAAAAGAAGAAAGTCTAATATATCAGAAGTGATTCAATGAAATTAAATGAAATTTGGTAGACTTTTTTCTGCTTTCCATGTATTATTGTTTTCATAGGTGCCATGCATGGTGAATATAAAGTATTGAATTATTTCGTGTCACGTGCACTCTATAACCATTAATAAATGTTGTTAAATAAATCATATTCCAATAATTACCTTCTTTTAAGAGTTCCCAACTTTTAAACACTGAACCAACACAAAGTACTTTCAAACCATCTTCAGATTTTGCCAGTTGCTGTTGTGAAACGATTAAGAAACTGTTAGAATATACGTTTTTTATAAATAAATTATATTTACACACCGTTTCTCTAAATGACATAAAATTTTGAATACCTCATGAACTTTTCCCTCCAGGGCATTAATATGATGTCCCAATCGCACACCAGCTTCTTTAAATACATATTTACATAGAGGGTCGCCGTGTTTTGACGCTCCTAACAAAAAAAGTTAGTTTCATTGTCAACCTTTCATTTTTATCATTTATTGACCTGGAGCGAGGGGGATTCGGCGAAATATTACCCAAAGTGATGATTTATTTTTCAATTGAATAAGTTGCTAAAAATGAACAATAATTGTATTAAAATACCAACTTATTATTAAATGCTCTACAATTATTCGGAACTTTGATAAGATGCGAGTTCGAATCCCGCTCGGGAAAAGGAATTTTTCGTTGGTCTCTGCAGTGTCAGAATAAATATGAAACTAGTTTTCTATATCTTAGGATGGTTCTGAAACTGATAAGTAGGCCTACTACCATTTAAATAAAGCCGTTTAGTTCATTTAATTAGTTTAATACGTTAATGCATGGTTAAACAGTTTATTAATTAGTTTAGCAATTAATTAGTTTAATATGTTAATGCAGGTTAGTTATATATATATAGTCAAACCTTCTGCTACAACCGACGTGAACTGAGCAACTTTTCCTTTGTTAAAATCTCTATAGAGATGGTCCAAGATATCAAAACGTCTTTCCAACTACGCAAGAGAAATAAAAAGGACAGTTATAGGCTACTATATACAAATTAACTAAAATCCTTAAATTCAATATCGCTTTAAAGTTCAGTTATATTTTATTTATCATTTCTCATACTTGAAAAAACTTGTACATGGCCTCTTTGATGAAAGTAACATCAAAGGGAGCTTTTACTAATCCATCTATATCATCATATACCAGTTTTATTGCCATATGGCTCATCCAATAACCTACATCGATCAGAAAAAACAAAGTTATCGATTTGAAAACCATTTGTCAACTATCGTGATTTTAAAAAATATGGCCTGTTTACGTCATAGAGGAAAAAGGTGACTCCCTGTACGGGTGGGATTGTTTCACCAGAAGTTCAAAGTAGTGGTTGCTTACACAAGATAAAGATAAAAGCCCAGGTCAAGCAAGGACGAGAGTTGATGATCGAGAGTTCGAACTCTCGCTCGCGTTTGACCGCCAATTCGCATCGCATTGCATTACATTATTGAGTTAACTCCAGTGACCGATTACATCAAGTATTGCGCTTACTTATGTTACTTACTTAGCCTAGACTATTTATCTTTACAACAATTGTGATTATTTTCTTTACTGTTTTTATCCAAACCCACCCTGTTAACTCTCCCTGTGGGAGGAAACCGGAGCGCCCGGAAAAAATCCACGACTTTTGGCAGAGCGTCGACTGACTCTTTTCACATGATTCCAACTCAGAAGTGAAAGGCGCTTGCTGACGACTGTGCCACCAAAGTTCTAATTTTAATGAGAGATGATGACAGCTGACGAGCGTTTTCTCTCGTTTGAGCAGTAGCATCGGCGATCCAGTCCATCTGGGTGTCAAAGTTGGGGCCAGTCGTTCTGTGGTCAAACGTGGCCCCAGAGCGACTCTTTTGAGTTCATTTTGATTCTCTTGAATTAACAGTGTATATTCAAAGAACAAAACCTGGAACCTTGTTATCAACCCACCTGATCCCTCATCCCCCAACATGTGTCCCCATCCACCACATCCATGTACGTCACCATTTGGATTAACCAACTGACAATTTGAGCCAGTGCCTGATATCAATACTATACCACCTGAAAAGAGTAGCAAAGTAATGTTACAAAATTTTTCTAAGACGTTTTTTACTTTTTTTAAAGCATGCGTGATAGGCATTAGTGCCAAGAAATGAAATTTCAGCAGCTATTTAAAGGACTTAAAATCGAGTAAATTTTCTGATATTTGGACCATTGATAAATCACATAACACATTTGTCGCCCATGAACTCCAAAATGTGTTTTAAACTTTTAAAACTTTGCGCGCAAGCCATTTTTAATGCTGCTAAACAAGACACCCCCTGCTCCAGAAAATTTATCTTTACGAAATATTTTTGTTTATTCTACATGTCATCATAATAAGTACCCAAACAATCTATATTTATTCAAAAATTCATGAAATGAACGGATTTGTGAAATTGAGAGCCGTTTCAAAATTGTACACCCTGTATTTAATAAAGTTGGGACAAAAGATTTCTGCACGGTGAGGTACAGTTCAACATCAATATTTTTGTGGCTTTGAAGTTTGCCTGGATTCCAGACAATCATATTAACGAACTAATTCCAGACAATATATATTAATAGACTATGTTGAGTAGAAATTAAAGCATCTATTGCAATGAAACTAAAGGCTTTTATCCAGTTTTTATCGCGTCGTTTTAGCAGTTTGTCAGCCATACTTGGACTAAGGTAACATAGGCAACTGGTCTAAAATGTACTTCACTTCGCAACTGGAATTTAATTGGAATTCATTATAAATATGAACAATAAAACAACTAGGGATCCAAAGATAGTGCAGTGTTTCAAAGACGAACGCTATAAGACATGCTTATTAATTGAATAGCTTTTCAAGCGTGGTTTATAGCTTTAATCACATGTCGATATGACGTGGTAGCGCGCGAACTGTTACAACAGTAAAAATGCTGGGTTTAAATCTAATACTTTACGATTAAAGAATGACGAGAGTTATGTAATATTATTTATTGCCCCATATAATATTAGTGACAAGGCATAATTTCTGTTATAATGTTGTAAAGTTTCAAATTGAAAACGACACTATATATATAGGGTCGCCGACAACCTAGATGACTTATTTAAATCTGTGATTATTCCCACCATCCTTTTAACGCCCATATTGTACACTCTGACTATTGTCTCAGTGACAACTTTAATTGAAATATTGTACACTCTGACTATTGTCTCAGTGACAACTTTAATTGAAATAGGTGTATAAGATATGTTATATCTCATTTGTGTCGGTTTTCTTTGATCGTCCGAGGTTTATAACTAGCTAATATACCTTAAATAAATAATTACATCAAACTTTTCGACAAAACGCGCGAATTTTTCATCAAAAATTTTTGAAAATGACAAAATATGTTTAATAAAAAGGGAGCAAAGTGCCCTTTTGCCCCCCCCCCCCGTCGCCAACATTTCCGGGAAAAATTTTTTAGATGCCCTTTTTTATTCGAAAAGTGCCCCTCAAAGCCTGGCCCCCTCCAACTTTTAGAAGCTTCCTACGCCTCTGTTCACGTGGGTAATAACGTCATCAAGTCTTCTGCGGTCACTATCCGTACTGTGGACAGCGGCTGCTTTCGACAATTCTTCAAGTAAGTTTAACACAATGGATTCGCTTTCGGTCTCGGGTGTTACAGAAGAAACAGACATGTCCAAAGTGTGGTTACTTGCCCGTCTCCTTTCTCGGGATAATTTTCTTGTCAACTGTTCGACTCTTTCTTGCAATGCAGCAATTGCAGTTTCCTGTCGAACCAAATACCCAATGAGCAACATAGGGTATTTGTTTCGACAGGAAGAGACAATTTTTCGTCAAGTCCATATTGTAAACCATGACATTTATCTTCAAACTGACGACAGCTGCCACGTATTTTAATACGAAGAAATTGAAGCGTTGAAAACTCGTCTACAGGAGCTGGAAGCCAGTTTCGCTGATCTTTTCATGTAATTGCTCGTTTCTTTGGTATAATTCTTCTTGCAACTTCTCAATACGCTTGGTCATCTCTACATGCTCTTTGTCACAGTGACCGCCGCTTGAATTCTCAAGGGTTTCAATTTCTAATGACTTTTGTTGAAGTTCCAGATTTTTCTGTAATATTTCCGGCTCAAACTTATTTCTAAGTTCATTCACCGACATCTCAGTAACTATAGTATCTTCAGTGCTTGTCTCTTCGGTCGATGTTTTTTCCAGCGACGTGTCATTCGTAACGTAGAGCTTTCCCTCTAGTTGTTTAACCTTTTTCATCAAATCTTGTACTTTCTTATACTTCTCGCTCAATTTTAGCCCAAATTTATGCTGAAGTTTCATCACGCTTTCCTCGCGTTCTTCCTTGGCGGTTAAAGCTAATTCTAGCAGTCGCTTTAAATCACCATTTTTTTACAATTTTACAATTTATTTACAATATTGTCATCACAGCTTTCGGTTACTCTTGCTTTAAACACTTGCACAACAGACGAAGCTCGACGAAGTTGATTTATCTCAACCAACTCTCGACAAATGGTTGAATCCAAAACATCCTTCTCGGCCTTAGATGACAAACTCCCATTTTCCGCATTCTCATTTCCAGTTACATCACATCCGCGGAGGTAATTCTTCACGTGCAGGGGCGTAGGAACCGGGGGGGGGGGCAGACCCCCAAGTTTTGCCAAGTGCCCTTTTCTTGCGTGAAAAATGTCATTAAGACAATTTTTTTTATATGACCTCCCCCCGTCGCCAACATTTCCGGGAAAAAATTATTAGATGCCCTTTTTTATTCGAACAGTGCCCCTCAAAGCCTGCCCCCCCCCGCAACTTTTAGAAGCTTCCTACGCCCCTGTATGTTATGAATAAGCACTACGACGTTGTATTCCATTACAAAAAAACCCATAAATCTAACACACAGTAACGTACGTAAATAAGAGACGAAAAACTCATTAAAGTGACGCATTTTATCCATAACCGTTCCGCATTTTATCACCATATCCGTTCCGTGGATCTGCATCCGCTTCCGCATTTTAATCTAATTAGGGACCGGTCATTAATTACAGGGGGGGGGGGTTGGTTGGTGGAAATGAAAAATTAGATGCTAAAATTTTGTCCCCCTCCCCCTGAGGATAACACAATTATACTTGACCCCCCCTCCCCCCCATGCAAATAACAAAAGGCACATTCGTAATTTAAAGTTCTTATAAAGCCACATTTAATCATACTGCCCTATCATAGTTGCCAACATTGGCAATAAAACATCCGTGAGATTTTGCTTTGGGGGACCCGCAAGGCTGGCGATAGTTGGCGCTGAGCGGAAAAATTGAAAATATGGATGATGTCTCCGTGCAGCACGGCAGAGTAAATTGTAACAAATACACGTACACTTGACTGGCTTCCTGAATTTAGCCAATAAAATGCGTTAAATTACTCGTTTCAATTTCATGTTTATGCTCGAAACTGCTCATGTTTACAAGCGATTCTTACGATCTTGCCCTCCTTTTCGCCTTTGAGGCGTTGGTGTCGATGTATACACATTTAGTAATTTAAATAGCTTGAGTAGTTGAGAATCAAAATTCAAAACTCCAAAATATTTACTGGGTACATGTAAAACGAACACCTAAAATCAAAATTCTCAAAAGCTGCTTTAATACTGTCAAATTTTCCGAAGTCTGATTTAGTTGTTTCAAAAGTATAGAATACACACACACTTCTGTATGGATTTCGTACATGTTCTACATGTCTTACAGTTACAGTGAAAATACAAAAATTGTCCCACTTCCGCAGTTTGTTGTGATTTACTGTAATTTGTTCTGGTTTTTTTCTGTAGCGATTACCGATTTATCGGCAAACACCGCGATAAAACTTAGTTTTCTTTTTTATTTTATTCTACAGCATTTATAGTTCTACAGCTATCCTACAATCTACAGTTTTATAATATATATTGTGAATGATTCCGAATATTCAAAACGGATTGAAAGCAGTAATGATGTACTGTATAACGGTTTAAACGTAGCCGTAGGCCGTACAGCACAGCCAGCACACTGCCACCGGTCACTGAGCTGAAGGATAAACCGAAAATTCACATTTCTCATCACAAGATTTCATAATGTTCAGTCGATCCGCTACATTGAAAGATGAGTATACTTGGCTATTTTTTTGGCAGGGGTAACGAAATATACCGGCTGTCAGTCTAAGTGTTTCGTCTGGAGTGTTTCTTTATGCGTTGGCCATCGGAAAATAATATAATATAATATAATATAGAGAGTAAATTATAAACATAACTACATAATTTCACAATGCTATTTTAAATACAACTATGGCTTTTGGCAGTTAATTTGCATATGTGTTTTTTAAAAGCCCAATTTTCTTACTTCCCCAACGTGTAAAACGCGAAAAAAACTTCATTAATAATAACACAAATTTGTAATAGTAAACAGTGTATTTTATTATAAAGGATTTTCGTTTTTCTACTGCTACGTACTCCGCGTGCTCCGTGTTTTACTAATAGTCGAGTGTTCCAGGGGAAAGATCCTTCACACAACACGGAGAAGCGAATGTTATAAAATTGACAAAAAATTACAATAACAACAACGATTCCTGGAAATATTTGTGAACTTGGCAAAAGGACAAAATAAGTATTTAAATAAGACAACTGAAATTGCCTAAATAACCTTCAAAGCACTGACTAAAGGCGGATTTCCAGTCCTCGCACGAAGCTCCTCGCAGCTCGCTGCGAGTGCATCCATGAGCACTTTCATCCAATCACAATGCTAAACAGTTAATTTTAATTAGATGCAAGCACTCGCAGCGAGCTGCGAGAAGCTTCGTGCGAGGACTGGAAATCCGCCTTAAGTACAATAAATCACCACAAAGATAAATCGTGTACACCCCC